GCTCAACCGGCCCGGCCGCGCCCTGGTTCGCCAGCGCGTCGTCGTCGCTCTACGTGATGGTGCACCCGATCCCGCGTATGAAGGAGTGCCAGCACTTCATGTGCGACTCGCGGCGCGAGATCAACGTCATCACCCACGCCTGGACCCTGCCCGACGTCCACTTCACGCCCGAGCTCGAAGTGGAGACGGACGTGGACGTCGGGCTGTTCGGGGCGTCGGGCGTCGAGGAGACCCACATGAACATGCAGGACTCCAAGTTCAACGGCCTCCCGTTCAACCGGATGGAGCGACGAGCCGTCATCATCGTACGCTGAAGTAGTCACTACCCCACTTGCTCCCTTTTTTGCTGGCTCACACGTCGGCCCAACAAACACCACACAGCACTGGCAGAGCTTCTCGCCGCTCAACGCGCAGATACGGCTCAGCGAGAACCGGCCTTGGCACAGCTTCTTCCTCGTGTCCAGGTCTAGACCTTTCTCCACTCTCTACAGCCCAACAGCTGTTGGTGGACGGCTGACGCGCGTGTGGCTCGCGAATGACACACGACACACAGGCATTGGCCGACGTCGCGACAGTGCGTGTCGTACCACATCGTGATCGAGTCGGACGAGGTCTACAACCGGGCGCACGAGGCCGTGGCGCAGATGAACACGCTGGGCGAGCTGCTCGACTTCTTCCGCACCTTCGGGCACGGCGGCGGCGGCGGGGAGGATCTCGACCAGTGGGACTACGACCCCTTCGCGGCCCTCACCCGGCTCGTCGAGCACTGCCTCGACCAGGTCCACCACCCACAACCACCATCACCATCTTCTTAGCGCTCGACCGCCTTCTCGATGGGCAGTCGTTGTTGTTGTTGTTGTTTGTAAAGCTTGTTATTGTTATTGTGAAAGAGAGAGTACGTGCAGATCAGAACTTGCGCTTCTTGTTGGCGGGCTTGCCCTTGCGCTTCTTGATGGAGCTCATGACGGTGGACTCGCCGTCGTTGTCTCCGGTCTGGTCCTCGGCCCCGCGGCG